CACACTTTTTAGTCTATTCTCGTTATCTTTGTTCTTGGATTGAGTTGGAGGGTGAATGTTCACCTCTCGAGGAACAGCCATGCCGACAAACGATTCAAATTGGTGTTATTTTTCATTGATCGTAGCTTCCCCAACATCCCCTGTTTGATCATACATTATTTTATAAAGTGCAATGGCGTGATTTATATTGTGCAATGTGACTATATATAAAGTGCAATACTGTAATATCTATAGTGGAAATTCTTAGGTGTTCCACCCAGTGTGATTAAAAGTTTCTGCTATGTAACCGGTAGTTGCATTCCTTAAGTGTCATTGCAAGGAAAAAAAATAGAAAAAAAAAGAACATATCAGTAGTAATAACTAAACCCATCAATTGCACCAATGTGAACAGACAGTTGCACGCAATAGAATCAACTGTTGCACTTTATCACAGTATAGATAAAATTGTTCTCAATACCTGGTGGAGAGTCATTTAATTCCATTGTTTATGAGGCTCAACCAAAAAAACGTATGAAATCCCTAAAATCACATGAAAAAACAAAGTATATCAGATAAACTATCCACTAATTACCATATGAATATTGCATATTTTGACATGTCGGTAATTAAACCAACAACACTCGATTTTGTACAATAATTGACCAAAATAAGAAGTTTAATCAGAAGATATACTTGAGGCCGTCGAGTATGTAATATGGCAGTTCAATCGAAAGTTTCGGACTCGCGAATCGGAGATTGGTATGGAAATCTAATGAAATATGGGAATTTCGAGCTCGAAATTATGAAAAATCGGTCGCAAAATTTCAAGCTAAGTGCAATATTTCACAATTATTTTGTTTTAATCGCTACCGAAAAAAATACACAGCTGCGAGATTGAGGAGCTTTAGGTGCGGGTATGCAGGAGCTGTGGGATTTTGAGAAGCTTTAGATACAGGTACGCAGGAGTTGCGAGATTTTGATGATGCAAGTCTTCCATTCATTCATGAAATTGGCGTAATTACGTTATTACCCTCCAATTGATGGAGTAATTGAATTCCAGCAGATATGTGATGTCCGTCCGATTTCATTGATCTAATGTACCAAATTTATTCCTATTTCTTTCATTAAGAGTCATTCTCACCGGAACCCAACCCTATATATATATATATATATAATTCAATAGTTATAATAAGGAATGATATTAAAATGCAATTAATACATGTAACATGACCATAAATAATCAACATATTTATGGTAATCCGAACCTAATTATTTTTGGTTTGGAACTAATTATTTTTTGTTTTGAATTAAATTAAAATTTACCCAAGCCTAATAGTAAAGCATGTAATTTTGCCACATAAGATTTCGAAGCACCAGAAACAGCCACGTAGGCTCAGCGCGTTCTGGAATAATATATAGGGGGATTTGTGTTTAGATTTAATTTGGATTAATTGATATGTTCTTCACTGGTGTGTTCTAATGTTTTATATTTTGTATTTTTTTTCCAATACTGAGATGTTAAGCATAAATAATTACATTTACAATAAAGTTCTAAAAAAAAATTAAGTAACATACCCGTCCGTGCATCGCACGGGATGCACACTAGTATTATTAATATACTTAAATAATATTAACCAATCATTTTTAAACATCACATCAACTTTAAATCATTATTCATTCATCAACATAATTTTGACTAACCATCACTTCCTTTCATTTTTCAGACTTTTACATCAAGTGAACTTTAATTATTTTATTCTAAATAATATTATAATTTAAACTTAAATATCCACCAATAACTAGCCTTACCATATTTTTTTTAAAAAAAATTAAATATAGTTAAAAAAAACTAATTAGAAACTAATTCAATCCATATGCAGTCACACCCTATATTACTCAAGGAATACGGTGCAAATCGAACCAAACTAATTAGCCTTCCAGACTGGCACAAGGATGGGGTGTTTGTTTACGAAATAGTTCACTCATATTTAATTTATACTTAAAATTTAAATCAACTCTAACTCAATTTCACTATCCTTAATATTATTCATATCCCCCTGTATATAATCGTCAAATGCCTTGAATCTAAGTGGCTGACTAGCAGGCTTCGAAATCTATGTGGCAAAAAAAATCATGTTTGGTAGCTAGACTTTGATATAAATTAGTATTTTTTATAAAATAATAACTATAATTTGGATTGCATTAAATATCTATGTTATTCACATTAAGAATGTGATTGATCTTTTTCTTCTTTTTTTATACAATTACTTGCAATAAAAGAAAATGCTACAAGTACATAATTAATGTATATAGATGTGTACATAACACTCACATGGAGTGAAGTCCACTTGATTTTTTATTTTTTGTAGGTCTCACTCAATGTGAGCGTTATGTACTCCTGTATGTACAATGTTATGTACTTATAGCATTACTCTACAATAAATATTTTACTCTTCTATTTCCTACATTACCTTATATTACATTTCCTTTTCTTATTTAATTCATACACTAATTATTATAAATGTGTTCTATTATAAATGTGTTCTATTCTTATTTTAAAATTCTATAACAATTTTTTTTTTTTATTTTGTTTTTTATATATGATATATTATAGTAATAATCTTTTAACGCTCTTCGATTTGACATCGTTAATACATATATAAAATACAAAATAGTGATATATATACTTATAAATAAATTTTAAATTGATTTATCAAACTG